CACTTAGATCAAAAGAGTTATGGACTTGGTCATGAGGTATTTTGGAAAGTTTTTCCAACCTTATAACAGAAAGGTTAAGTTATAGGGAGCTCTTACTGATGGAAACATCATTGTTATTTTCCTACATTCAGTTATTTTGCTCGGTGGTTGCCATGTGGTTGCTTGTAGTCCACTCATTTTCTCTAAGAACTGTAACTATTGTCCTTAAGTGTTAATTATTTTGTGAATCAGGACTGTTGATTCCTTTTTCTTCTGTTGCCTCTTCCATGCGTTTGTATCTTTCTTATGTGACTGCCCTACCATGCGTGACTACAGATTCCACCTGATGGATTTCAAGCTGTAAGCATGCTCCAGATTTTGGATTTAAGTGGTAATGCTGCTTCATTGCCAAGAAGTCCAGCATTTTTGTGCTTGCGACAATTGCAGGAACTATATATAAGGTAACTAAATGGACATAATGGTTAGTGAGTTCTATGTATATTCGTTTGTATTTTGTGCATTTTTTATATTTTTTAGTAACTGTCCTGATGCATTTGCAAAATTCTCTCTTGACTACTCAGACAGATGCAGCTTCAAGAATTCCCATTAGATATATTGAGTTTGACGCATTTGAAAATCCTTGACTTGAGCCAAAATTCCCTTCAGAGTATTCCGGAGGTAGCGATCTCTCTCTCTCTGTGTGCCCACATGTGCATGTGGTGTTTTTGGGTGGTGGTGGGGGCGAGGGCTTGTTTGTCCCGATAGCTCATCTGGTATCAACTCACTTTTGAAGGAATGGTAAAAACACTATGCTTACTAGACAGTGTATCGATATGCACATGTTCCTGTTTATGATGCTGTTAGTCTTATCACGGTATTAGAACATTTTCTATGTGCATTCCTTTTCCATTTGATTCACAACATTGTACGTTTCTGTTTTGTACTGACACACAGGAGATTGGGACTCTCACAACTCTTACTGAGCTCGACCTCTCCAACAACAATATACCATCGCTTCCTCCTCAGCTAGTAAGATTTGTTCTCTAAAGACTAAGCTCTGTGGAGCAAGTAATTTTGGTATATTATTGTCTGTCGTGGTTGGCATATGTCTCTGTCACATTTGGCTTTTGACCCAGAAGTTCATTAAATCTGACTTATATGTGGTTGTACTTTGTTACTTGTAGTTGCATTCATATGTCAATTTGAACACATACTTATTTTTATCAACCTCAGGGACTGTCAGAGCTCTTTTTGACCTTGTCAGAGTTGTGCTTGTTCGTCTGATATGCGTTGCCATGACCCACTCCCAGTCTAAATACATTAGTATATCTCTCTGGGTTTGTAGTAGAGTAGGCTATAATGGATGGTATTCTCAGTAGAAAGTTCCTTGATCAGGGATTACTCGAAGACAGCCTGCAGGCCTTAAGGCTAGAGGGAAATCCATTGAGAAGATATGCTGTACTTTTTCATTTTCTTTAGTCAGGTACTTAAGTTGGGACATCGACCAAAAAAAAACTCCAGCCCTGCCTATTGAAATGGAATGTCATGCATATAAGCTACAACCCATCCAAATTACCGCGTTGCTGCAACATCACTCGTATGCCATTCTTTATGTATGTTTCCTTTTTGTAAATGCAAATAGCTGAAGATAGAATATATGTTGTATACTCGATTCTACTCTATGCTTTCACGGTAGAAAACTTTGTCGGTTTTTTTCAACATTTCCACTGTCAAATTAATAGAGAGAGATGTACGTCCACAAATACAATTTATCCTGATCTAGTCTTCACTTGTGCAGTATTCGAAGGGCAATTCTCGATAAAGGAACTAAAGCTGTTTTGACGTACTTGAAGGACAAGATCCCAGGCTGATGATCTGCTTCTTCCACTATAAACAATTTGCAACTACTTTCTTTACGAGATGAAAGTGAACTGTTTATCTGCCCTTATAGAGGGGTCCGTGTTCAGAGTGAAATCATTCTTCTGTCCTGGGAGCTTGATATTGGAGACTTGTAATTTTACGCGAGCTACTTGCACCATATGTAATTTGAACATTTTCTTGTCTTGATTTCTTCCTGGAGCTCTATAATGCTTGTCTCTCCTCCATACCGATGCTTTTGGTGTATCTGAACGAAGAACGATATCACCATCTTATCCTTTAACTACTCACAAAGTCATTAGTTAATCACCGGGGTTCATATGTATTGTTTTAAACAGGCACCATTACGTAGGCCTGCAGCCTGAAATGGCTTAATAGTTGATACTTCTATTTTAATCTATCATCACAGATTCCCAAATTTCGAGATAAAAACAGTAGGAGTGTCATAATTTTCGTATGACACTCACTTGATGGTTATAATTTTTTTTTTCATTCATTTAAGTGTCACAAATTTGAAAAATCACTTAAGTGCCGTTAGCGATTTGCCTTGTTGGAAAATTTGACTTGGACGCCTGTTGTCTAGCATGGCACCACCGGCATCGAAGTGGAAAATTTTTGTAATTTTTTTCGGTCACTTAAGTACTACAAATTTGAAAATCAATTACTTAAATGCCATCGACAATTTGCCTCGCCAAAAAATTCGCCGTATCTAGCGAGGGCCTTCGCGGTCCGCAGCGGGTGATGGCCTCCTTCGCAGTCTTGCCAACCGAAGTTGAGGCCTTTGCGGCCGACGCACAGAAAAAAAACAAAGAACAAAAATAACAAATAATTTTTAAAAATACAAAAAATCCATGTAGGACGATTTGCTATAAGTGACAATCAAATGATCGATTTTACTTTGATGTGACACTTAAGTGAGTGAAAATGAATCAATATGGGTCGGACCATTTTCGACCCGACCTGACCTGACCCGACCCGACCGCTTGATAGGCCTACATTTGATTTACTTTGGAAATATCTTCCGATCATGTTCGGTTTTCGCAAAATAAATTGGAGCTTAAATGCGTTAGAAGTCTCAAATTTTGCAGATTCGGGGCCTCACTGACCCATCGTGATTACTGTGACCGGGCCTTCAATTCCTCTTAACCCAGCCACATTTCAGTTGGCGTTTGACACTGTTGGTCTGTTGCAACTGTTCTTATCTATGTATAACGAAGAAATCCAGCCCTTTCTTCTGAATGTAGGAACTGGGGACATTAATCGCGTCTATCTTTCGCTGTCCAATTGCCTACCTCATTGAAGTAGCTGGGCAGATTATTATTCCAAGCATCCCCATGTTGTGCCTAGTTTGATTTGAATGGGCTTTATCCTTTCTTCTCCATGATTCGCGCTATTTTCGCATTCCCAGTCTTCAGTTGCTTTTACGTCATCGTCTTTTGGATATCGGAAACTGCCGCAGCGAAAGACATTATCATCTCCCATTGCTGCTCGATCTCGCCTGTCCGGTCAAAGGTACAACCGCTTCCTGCGGTTTTCGAATTACCTGTACAGCTGAAAGTATAAACTTTTCCTCAAGTTTAATTATAATGGCCATGTTAGATGGAGGACAGATGGAGGGTGATCCCGGGAAAGGGATTTACTGCTTTTATTAATCACCACCAATCCGTCCTTTAATAAAGAAAGGGGTTGGTGAATCCGCACCATGTATGAATGTATGTCAGAAAATGAAGATACTGGCAAATTGTCAATGACTAGTAACTTGCCAGCCATTCCTTACTTTGAGCTTGACCAACCCTCCTCGTAACCGAAAGCATAAGGAATGAGCATTCGAGGATTTAAAGAATTCAGTTTGAGGGTCATAAAACCATCTTCTTGAGCTGGAAAACCCTGCAATCCCTTGCAGACGAATCAAACCATCTCCCAGGATAAACACTGGAGGTGAAGTCCATGATCAACCCTTTTTAATTGGCTTGGCGTCTTTTCAATCTGTCATATAAAAATTCCCAGTCGCGTCGTGTCGTGCCAATGTGGTTTCGCTGCCTATGCAGTATGCACGTCTTGATTGAAGCCTCCACCGTTAGGCTCACAGGCCACAAGTAAGCTATCACAGCAAAAAATCAGGACTTGTCCGAGCAATGCTTTACGTTTTGGTCCCTTCCAACCAAGGCTTCATCCACCTCAATGCCATTCAACCTTTGACCGGTCTAGCCAACAGCTCAGTTTCCTAAACACGGATTACTCGTGCATCGTGTTAATGAGATTAGATTAGCTCTTCTATTACCTGGAGGCTACCTGGAATGTACCCTCGTCGAATAAATAACTGGTGGATTGAGCCTTTCCAAACTTGATCAAGTGGTTTGCCACTCGTCTCGTCTGACGCCTTTGATTGGGGCCTGGCGTGTCCACTGGGAAATGTTCAATCTTCCACTAAATTTCTGTTGATTATACTTTTTCCCCGCCCTATGGGGGTTTTCATATTATCAATCCAAGCATGACTGAGCTAAGCAACTCTTTCGTAATTGGAAATCTCAATACTTAAAGATCCAAATTGTTGATTTGGCTTATGTAAGGCTCTTTTAAGTGTGGTTAAAATGCATTACACGCCAAAGCATATGATTGGGTCTCTCTGAACAGATCCGGATATCCCCTTCATCAGAAAGCCACAAGGGAAGAAAAAAAATTGCTATTTATTCGAAAGTGGTAAACATTTTTCGTGTTCTTTTTTCTGTTCTGGGATATAACCCGGTGCATGCCGGCGGCTCGAGGATTACCGCAAGTATTACGAACCGTTTCGGTACTGAAGAATCTCGGACGTCGCGTTGTCTCCGCAAAAGGCTATTGCGAAAGGGGCTAAATGTGGAGAATGAGAATCAAAGCACAAAGATTAGATAGAAAGCAGAGTCCTCGTTCTGGGTTGAGTGAATGTTCTGGTTGAGTGGATGTTACAGCAATAGTCCAGAAAAGACACACACATGTAGGAGATTCTCGATTCCTTTTAGGCGTCCAAAACAAAACTGCCCCTCCCCCTTTAATATATGATACCCAGACAACACCGGACGAGCACATGCACATGACTGAGTCTCAAAACAGAGTCGTCATCCATGAAGTAAGCCAAAACATCAAGAAAATCAGAGGCGCCACTCTACACAAGAAAGATACCCCAAAATTCATTATCACGTGACCAAAAGCTTAATAGGTTTTCCTCAGAAAAGGGAAAGCAACGTAATCAAATCATTGAGCCAGAGACCCTCCTCATGATCTTGATTAAACAAAGAAAAGCACAGAAAGCTCAAAGCACAATATGAACACCACTTGCTTAGTTTTTTTTGCAGTTTTTTCTCTTCCCATCCTCCTATCTCACATGTTCAGCATTCTGACCCGGAAAATGACAACCAGAACAAGCCAAAATTAAAAGGGAAAAAAATAAACGAAAACAGAGAAAGACACTACTGCAAATTCTCTAAATGTTCCCTGAAAACTTCCAACATGCTAGAGAATGTGACAATTCCCACCAAGCTACAATCATCCTCAATGACCCACACATAATTCACACGGTGTGCAATGGCTTGAATCATCACGGCCATCAATGAACTCTTGGGGTGACAAACTATTGCCTCTGACCTCCTCACCATCCTAGCTGAGTAGCTGTGAGACCTGCTATACTTCCCTGATCTTGCCAATTTAGCGTTCGGGGACGGAAAGCTCTCATCGTCCGATGAGGACGACATAGACGACGAATTACTTGGCGCTGAGGATATCGCGAATTCTTCCAACATTCCTTTGCAATTCCTCTCCTTTAATCTCTCTTTCACCACCCGGACGAGATCTTCCGGCGGGCCGCCGCAGTCGATGTAGGCCATTAGGTCGCCGCAGGAGAGCGTCGCCACGGCGGCTGCGACGGTCTCGTCGCAGCAAGCGAGCGTAGAAGGCGAGATCTCGCCGATCAAGATCCCTTCCCCGTCCACTACGGCTACCGAGGTCTGCTCGATGTGCGAGCGAGAGATGGCCTCGAGCGCTGCCGAAGCAGGGGAATGGTAATCAACCGCAAGGACTTCGGTGCTTATAAGGCGGAGAGTGTCGATGGTTAGCGCGGGGATCGGAGAGAATATGCCGATGGAGTTGAGGAGGAACCTGATCACATCTTCTTGGGTTAGCCAGCAGAATTCTTGCCCTTTGTGAACTGTGACAGGACTTGTTGAGGAAGATAGTTTTTGGTGCTGTTTTCTTCTTGCGGACCTAGTTTGAATTGGTACCACAAGGTTTTGAGCTCCTTGCAGAATGAGATCTATTGCTTCCACCAATCTGAAAATTTGAAAAGAAGAGATTTAATAACTCCAAATGGTAAGGGGAGGGTATATAATCCTCATTTCTGAGAAGGATACTAACGATTTGAATCTGCAGCACAAGACGAGGCAATATCATGCAGTAGAAAAGCAGAACGCAAGCGAAACTCGAAGCCAATCAAGATAAACTGATTCCTTAAAACCCCCGACATAAAGAAACGTCACCCATTTCTCGTGGCTCACCTTGAAGAAGGCTCAACATGCACGACTTGACCAGGGATCTTCGGCAGAAGCGCAGAGACGGGCGCTTTCAATGCCTCCGAAGGAGACGAGAGGCCGTCTTCGCTGGAGAGATAGCAAATGACGTCCACCATGCACAGCTTCCCCACGCAGCGGCACTCTCCTCCTCCCTCCCCTTCCTCATGCGGCGCCACCGCCGTGTTGGACCGGTGGTCGCAGCTCCAGACGCTGAGGAAGCTGTCCTCGGAGCTCCTCAGGGCGAACAGGGCATCGCCGACCGTGGCGGCGACGGAGAGCGACCTCAGAGCGGGCTTGCCGAGGCAGAGGTCGCTGACTCTGTGGCTGAACAACCCAGCTGCCATGCAAATACGATCTTTGATTGGAGGTGGCGGCGGTGGTGGCGGTGGCGGTGGCGGTGGCGGTGGCGGTGGTGGAGGGTAGAGGTGATGGATTGAGGAGGTGATGATTTTATAGAGGAGCGACGTTACGAGGAGGAGGCGAGGGAGAGGAGACGAGAGAGACACGGTGTTGGGAAGGGGCGCGACATGAGGCACCAAAACGTGTGGGGGCCATATTACCATCTTTTACTATATGTTACAAATAATTTACTTACTATCTTGGCAATGGTCAAAATGGTATTACTGTATACTACAATTCTTGTCTTCAAGTGGAGCAATCCAGTTGTCCTAAAGCATATTATTGACCAGGATGTGAATTTCAAACAAGATTTGTTCTGATGTAAAACATGTGCTTCGGGGTGATCGAACTTTTCGAATTTAAGTTAGCCGCGTTTGCCAAAGCCGTGGGAAAATTGTCCCAAAAGTCCTAAATCTATTTTGGGACCGTTAATTCAATCATAAACATTCTAAATTGACCAAAATGGTTTCAAAACTTTTGACAATTGTCCAATGTAACCCATCCAGCCAATTTAGATCAGAAATTACAGACATGAACGTTGATCGTCCTACGTGGTACGGCCGGCAGGAACAACCGGTGAGGGTTGACCGGCGATTTGACATGTCCGATTCCACTCAAAATGACGTCGTTTTGAGATTTTCTTTTCTTTTCTTTTCATTTCCTCATCTTTTTTCCTTCATCTTCTTGGATTTTTGGCCAATAGGATCGCTAGGGCCGCGCTTGGTATGGGTAAAGGTGTCGTGACCCTTGCCTGTGACCAACAATGCCAAGGCCTTGGTGACCCTGCCGATTGGAAATCGCTGGGGCCATGCTTGGTCTGAACCTTCTGTCTACTTTTTACGGTCCTCACTCAAAGTAGCTTGCACATAATTGATGGGTTTGAACGAGTCTCCTATGGAATGCCATTGTTACATCGAACAGAAGAGCGATCTCATTAATTCCAATAATAATTTGTATAGCCAGCGTTTTCATTTAAAAAATTGACTCGAGACATATACCGACGACCACAAAGAGAAGGTAGATTCGTAGCTTGTCATTAAAAGTAGGGATAATGACACAAACAGTCCCTGAACTTTGGCTCAATGTGCAATTTGGTCCATAAACTTTTAATTTGTTCAATGTAATCCCTAAACTTTAGCCTAATGTTCAATATGATTCTTGAACTTTCAATTTGTTCAATGTGGTCCATGAATTTTTGGTACATATTCAATTTAGTCCTTGAACTATATGCAAATGCACAATATAATCCATGAACTTTTGGTACATGTTCAATTTAGTCCTTGAACTGTATGAAAATGCACAATATAGTCCCTGAACATGAATTAATGGAATGACTACATTGAACATTTTTATAAAGTACATGGACTATATTGAATATGTACTTAAAGTTCAGGGATCACATTGAATATTGGGTTAAAGTTCAGGGACTGCATTGAACAAATTAAAAATTTAGGGATCAAATTGCACATTAAATCAAAGTTCATGGACTGTTTGTGTTATTTTCCTTTAAAAGTAATAGTTGGAACGTGGACGCATAAAGCTTCAATTAAAGGAAAAGAAAAGAAGAAGAAAAAACGAGAAAACGGGAGTTGTGAATGCGTCAGCTCTTTTAACCTGTTTAATTGATTAATCATAACTTCATTGCATTCCGACCACTGTAACAGGAAAGAATAAAAATTAAAAAAAAAAAACTGCGACCGTCTCTAGCCGATCAAACAGTTTCCTAGTATAGTCGGTTTGGTAAAAAGGACAAGCGCGTGGGAGTTACAAAGCGTGTCAATGACATAAACGATGCGTTAATTAACCTTTGCTTCTTCCGGGAACCGTCCACTTCAAATTGGCCACTCCGATTTCAAATCCAACGTGCCGTAAAACGACATACTAATGAAGAGTCGGCATCTTTGACCCTTGTGGATCAAGGAATTCATGTCTCGATAACTTATTATTTGTCTAATTCCCACCATAGGATTGACTTCTCTAATTCCGATCATAGGATTGACAAATTTTATCCTATGCGACAATGTAAATCTCGCGCGACGTCGTTCGCACTTTGCAGCACGGACCCGATTTGATGATACCTAAAATTGGATTAAGACACATAGCAATTTAGATTCAACCACCACGTTTACCTCGTCTCTCTAGAACAACAAACATTGCGTTGGCAAATCTTCGCCAGGGATCATGTGTGAACATCGCTTTCGTGCCGAGCAAGAGACATCAATCTTTCCCTGAACAATCATTATTTGACCGCACGTTGCTCCAATCTTTCTATACTATACATCAGACCCAGCTGTTTCATCTCATTGATTGATTAATTACGTCTAGAAAAAGATCCATTCTTCAACCGGCAAAAAAATCTCCCCCCCTGCATAATTGCATCACGTCCCTCCCTCAGTTGACTGTAATATAAAAGGCTACATTAATGCACAACACGATGTACGTGCAAGTTCATATGTATATTCAAGCCAACACGGGAAGCACGCGCACATTATGCAGGAGAGCTGAGTGTTAGGTCTTGAGCTCCTGACTTCTGATTCAAGATCCATGGGAAATTAAAAGGCCTTGCTTGCACATATCATCTGCTAACAACTCCCATGGCTCTCAATCTTTTCCATCATCTTGAAGGCTCGACCCTTCGCTGAATGATATGAGATGAGAAGAGCATCTTACCCTATCTTTCTGTCACTTGCGACAGTAATCATGAGATATGACGTCGTGTGAATAGATTGTTTTCCCCCTTAGTTTTACCGGGAAAGAACCTTTAACTTTTTGGAAAGGAGGAGTCGGCTCGTAGAGCGAACAAAGTCATGAATCCCACACCAGCCGTACATGTCCCTTTCTCTTATGTTTCCTTAAAGGATCTGAGCCACGAGAAAAGAACCTTTTATTAAACAGAGGAGAGACGGGCAACGTTCAGATTCGATGAAATATAGATTAATGGACGTATGGTGGGCCTGTCATTAGCATCAAGAAGCTCATGAATGTTGATTGAAGATGATGGATGACAAAGAAGTAAGAGGACCACGTATTCTTAACATCTCTAGAGGATAACTACAGCCGTGAGATGTCACTGATTTTGCTTGAGAAAGCAAGTGATGGAGCAATTAGGAGAAAAGGGTCGGCTGATATGTTGGTAAAGTAGCCCAAGTTGGTGAAAGGTTTTTTTATGAGTATGGGTCATTTTCTGTCCTATGCGCCTACAGTCTTCACAGCCTTCTTAATCTTTTATAGGTAAAAATGAACTATTTTATTTGGTGGAGAAAGCCAAAATGTATTTAACTCTAATAAAAAAGTTGGCTAGGTATCACCCATCTTCCACTGAGATCACAAGCTCGATTGACGCATGAGCGAACCATGAATTAGGGGTGAGCAGTAGTCGGGCCAGGGTCATTTTACCACTCTAACCCTAGGACCAACTCCGCACAGTGTTGGTCCTCAATTTTGAGACTGAGATTGAGTCGGTTCCATGGACCCGCCGAGGGGCCGGACCGCCGTGGTCAGTTCCGGCGGGTCCGGCAACCTACGGCCCCACCAAGTTTTCCCGAACAAATAAAAAAAAATAAATGCAACCAACATCTGATCAACGGAATAAAAGAAAAGAACATAACTTTCCATACACTTCCTATACTATGATCGGTTCTATTAACCACATCATCCATAAACTGTCAAGTGGACTCCATCAAATGAGTGTCCGAGAGATAAGAGAGCAGAGAGTTATGAGTGTCTAGTTACGTTTTTTTTTTTTGGTCGATTTTTGTAATTAAAATTTTAAAAATAAAATATATTATTATTATATTATTGGTCGGTCAGGGTGGGCGGGTGGGCTGGAATTCCACACGGACCCGATACCACGGTTGGCTCTCGGTCTTGGGATCCGGACTTTTGATCGTTGGTGATGAATGGCTTGTGCCGTGTCATCTAGCTATATCATAACTTGTGCGGAGAGGCTTTCTGACTATTAGAATCTCGGTGGGGTTGCGGTGGCAGGCTCGCCAACTTCGGACTTTCGATCGTTGGTGATGTGGAGTAGCTCTACGGCTCAAAGCTCATTTTACTAGCAATAGTTGTTTCTCCCCACCTTTTTACTTATTAAAAAACTAATCAAACGGGGCTTATATACTTGATCAAGAGAAATAAATATGTATATATTGAATTTTTTAATGCAAAAAAACCTAGTTAGTTCGCTTAAATAGACTATAGCATATATTGAATACTAAATAACCCATGATAACATATATGGTAACCGGTTAATGGAACAGATGAACCCACATGAATCATCATTTTCCTGAGTCGCTGATTTATGTACACAACATTCTTAACTTTCCTCTGCTGTTTTTGGTGATCAGATGCTCCATTAGTCGACTCAGATAGTCTGGTTGAAAGGGAAGGGAAACATCATTCATTTCCTTTGTAACTTGAACAGCCAAAATAAGGAAACATTACCCTAGGAGGGAGAGGGAGAGAGAGAGAGAGAGAGAGAGAGAGAGAGTCGTGTCTGGGCTCAGGTTAGGTTGGTTCAATCTTTGAAAGCTTCGCTTTGACATAGCAACATTAATGGTGGCAGTGGGGAAGTAGATGCCTCCCACTGCACCCTCTCATCACCCTTCAGTTGACAGCTTTCATATGTTGGCCCAAAAATAAATTTGACAGCTTTCGTAAGTCAGGAAGTTTTGATACCACCAAACGCTTTTGACCTGCAGCGTTTGAAATACTCTTAACGAATCGGGTCCACTGCATCAAGAAACATATGTCGTAAAAGTCGGATCAATATGCGAAACTATTACCACTAATTTCAACCGACGCGATTGACCCTATGTACACTATGTCGGATCTTGCCGATATCGACAACAAAACATAGTTATAGTCAAGAAGCATAGATGCTGGGATCGTGGAAGACTCGCTCATCATCACAGTTCAGGTTCAGTTAATTCATGGGAGCCGAGGATGGAGCTTTTCGCGACGAAATCCTTTAGCTCACTCAAATGGACAGAGCAACACTCCAACAAGCAATGCT